GGGAACCACAGCTGGGATGTTGATGTTGGAGACAGTGAAGGCTGGAGACTTGGTGTGTTAGAAGAGTCTGTTAAGAGGAAAGGACTCATAAAGTCTGGTTTGTTATATATACGGTTCTATCAAGGTAAATACTCAGCAGATTCTCCACCAGCTCCTTCCTCTCGTCTCTCAGTCCAGAAGAATCTCCAGAGGATCAGAGTGAATCTGGACTGGGACAGAGGAAAACTGTCCTTCTCTGATCTGGATACTAACACACACATACACACCTTCACACACACCTTCACTGATAGGATGTTTCCATTCTTCACCACTGATAAAACAGTAAAGATCGTACCGATGAAGATCTCAGTGATGAAGCAGCAGCTCTGATGATCTCAGCATGAAGATCAAAGTCCAATAAAAACTTATTGATCAGATTGAAACTCTGAGTTTTAAAGAGGAAACTGGAGACGATCTGATCATCTGGAAACTTCTTCATCTGTGATCAGATTCAGATTCATCTCCAGGCTGCAGGAAGCAGCAGGGCAGCGTTAAATCCCATGGTTCATATCTCAAATTAAGGTAGTAAATCAGATAAAACCGAACCTGGGTTCTGTTTAAACACTGCAGTACTGCGTGTCGCCGCTGGGTGTCGCTCTATCTCCATTTTAGTTTTATTCCTGCTTGTCTAACGGAGCAGATTAAGATCAACTTGATTATCTACAGGAAGTCAAACATTGGTTGGTTCTCATCCGGTTTATTGTCCTTCATCTTTTAAAACATCTGTATTGTTTTGGTTTTCATTAAACTGAAGAACATCGATTTGTTTCAGCCTCATCATGTTCTGACTGGGTTTTTATTCTCCTGGCAGTTCCCAGGTTTCTGTTCCTAAATATGTATCTAATAAATAAATACTTTTCATAATGACACAATTAAAGATACAATGTAAATAGATTAAAATAAAATTGAGAATGTGAGATTCTAATGTTTTGATATTAATGGCAGTGAAGTGTTTGATTTGGTGTTAGAATCAGAAACAATGAAATATGTTAATAATGCTACTACCTATTAAAATTATTTTAACAAGATTTGCTTTAAATAATCCAAAACTTCACAGCCTTAACTTCTTTATCATCTGTGTCTGAAAGTTAAACTCCAAACTTTTATTCTTTTTTTTAAAGGAATTAACTTAAAGAATAAAGAAATAGAACTATAAGTGGTGCTTTTAAATATTTTTATTGGTAAATGTAATATATTAAAACTTTGTAGCATATAAAACAGATCCATTCTGGACATTTTGCAAACATTTTTCATCTAAATATTCATTAATTAGTGAAACTTGGGGTTGTATTTTAAAAAATAATCTCAATATTCTGGCCATAAAGAGAAAATAAAGTAGAAACTTTAAAATAATTTCAACCTTTTTCTTTCAGTGACATTAAACTTGAGTTAAGTTTAAATCCACCAGGAATGACCAGGAATGTCCACCAGGGGGCAGAGTTCACCGCACAAACAGCCGTTCATAGATTCCAACAGGGATGTTCAAAGTGGGGGTCGGGGGCCAATTGTGGCCCTCGAATGGACTTTGTTTGGCCCCTGGCTGTAATTCTAAAGTGATGCCAGTTTGTCGATCAGATGGTCTGTCAATTTCCTCCTAAATATTTATGTTAAATTTTTATTTTTAAGTGGAAATGTGATTTCTACACCAAAAATTAACCTTGTTTTACTCAGTAAGCCAAAAATATCAACAAAGTATATTTTCTAACTGAGGGAAAGTTAGTACACCCTGCTGGCTGATGGCTGTACTGCGTTTATCTTCAGTCAGGTCAGTTATTAGCTCTTGTTGCTCTTACTTTTTAACTTTCAGACAGTTATGATGTGCAACCATGGCAACAAGGTGTTGTTTTTACAGCTTTGCATCCCAAAGCTCATTTAACACCTGAACTCTGACCTCTGACCTCAGAGGAGTTGATAACGATGCAGAGAGAGAAGGAGGAAGTTCAAACCGTCTCTTCCCTCCATCATGATGGACAATAGAAATGGATGATCTTCAAACATGGCTCCAGGATCAGATCCCCTACTCCAACATCTTTCTAACCAAACGGTCTGACAGATTTAAATGGAGCAGCAAAAGCAAATGAGCTGGATCAGCAGAGCTAACGCATACATCCAGGATGTGTTGCTGTGGAATATCATCTCTGCTGCCTGGATGCTGAGCTGTTAGCATGTCAGCTAACAGTTTTCAGTCAGAGGCCTATTCACATACGTTGGAACACTGACTGCTGCTGCCAAAACAACTCTGAAGATACTGAAAATATTAATTATTGAATAGTGTAATTTCTCTGTTCGGCCTCAAACATGTAAGTTGTTTTTAAACCATGTTTGTTGCTAAAAGTGGAGCTGAGTTTGTTTCATCAGCAGATTCTCGTCTCTTAACACCAAGTTCAATCATGTCTCCATGTTTTGGCTGCGATCCGCATCGGTTCCGCTCCGACGGCCTGCGGGCCGACGCGGATGAAGCGCTGCGTCTTTACGGGAGAATTGGGATGTTTCCGACCGGATCCCATTTGTGTGAAGCTGTTAGCGCTCCGCCTGATACGCCTCTGAGATTAGGAAATGGTTTTACAGTAAGAGGATCGGCCGCCTGGAGGTGAGGAACACACAGCGAGGCTGGCGGGACCGGGAGCCGCAGACACGATCCAGAAGGAACAAAATACACGTCATCAGAAGCGTGACGTCACGCAGGAAGCAGCGTCTCAGCTTCAGACACAGATATTATCAATAAACGCCCCAAACTGTTTAAAGACTTTAACTCACAAATTACTTCATTTTTTTCTGACTCGTTATTCTGGCATTTAGCAAATAGATTTTATTTTGTAATCCTAATTGAACTTAACTGGTTTATTCTGTGTCTCTTAACCATAAAATAAAGCAAATTTGAATTACAAAAATAAAAATGCTTAATAAAAACATGACAGTTTTGACAAAACTCAAGTTTTTCGATAAAACGAAGTTTTGAGCTATTTTGTAAAACTGCAGTGGAATCACTTTTCCCCACATCACACCAGTCACATGATCATCAGCTACTGCCGGAAACCATGAAGAATAAAACAACAGGAAGTAGTTGGAGGTCAAAGCTGTGGCATGTTTTTTACTGACTTATCTCGTTAACAGATGCAATCACCTGGGATTTGAATTGTTTCTTATTTAATGGAAACTTCGCACTTGACTTTATGGTTCCTATTCATAACAAATATAATTTGAAATGTAACTCAACTGAATCCAGTTCATTTAAATACAGTTCATTTTTTAAACCAGGGGTTCCCACAATGGGGGTCGGGGACCCAGGTAGGGTCACAAGACACCAAGTGACAACGGGAAATGATTTTCAGAATATTAGCGATGTGACCCATCAGGTGTATGGAGGGCCAAAAGGGACAAAATTATATTTATAAGTAAATATAGTATGAAATAAATAAATGTGCAACTAAATAATATATAGTTAAATACATTTTAACCATATGTATACAATCAATTAGATTAAAAATATGCATAATTATTTATAGTATGTATGTGACATATGAATATAACTATATCTACATATAAATCAGTGATTCTTGAAAATAGGGACAAAATGGGTTTTAATTGTCCCATTTTTTTATTATTATTTCTCAACCTTATGTA